TGAACAAATCAGTCTGAGAAGAAGCACAGCCAGAATGCTGCTTAGAAGTGAGGATGGTGACACTTCAGCTCGCTTACTTTAGACACCTCACCAGGAAAGACCAATAGTTAGAAAAGCACATCATGTTTGATAAAGTAGAGGAACGAGGAAACCTCCATTAGACGAACTGACACAATAGCCACAATAATGTACTCAAATATAACATCGATCATGAAAATGGCACAGTACCGGGCAACATTTCATTCTGTTATACATAAGGTCGTCATGAGTTGGAGCTGACTCAACGGTAACTAACAACATCCACAGACGGCTCAACCCAAAACATTTTTGATTAATAGCTAAATGTACTAAAGAATTGGATAACAGAAAGAACTAAGTCAAACAACAGTACATAACAATTATGTATACACTACGTAAATATTAAAGAAAAGCAAGCACGTAAGTTGTATATATTCATGTGCATATACATCTGTGTATTTTTAAGATTATTCACCATTTTAGACTTCGGGTACCATCTTTTCTCTGCATCAGTACACACTGTCAAGACTGACTATATAATTTTAAAAACTGAAAGGGATTCTCATAACCACTATGTGCTCAACAATTGCAGACTTGTATCCTATCAATATACTAAACCTCAGGATCCAACCCTAGGTCTGACACACAGTAGGTGCTCAATACACAGCAATGAATAAAATCATTAACTCTTGAAACTCTATTTCAAGGTGAATGTTCCATTCATATAAATGTATGATAATGCATAGATATCTGGAACATCACAAATGAATCAGTGAAGAAATATTTATTTTAAGCTGAGCATAGCAAACATATAATTTTTCAACAAATTAAATTTTTCACCATTATTTCTTAAATGTAAATAAAATATATAAGCATGCTAATACAGTCTTCTGGTTAAAATTTTAATTATGGAAATGTTGGGAAATTTAGCATTATCTCCACAGCAACTATACTCTGGCAACAGATACATTAAATATGTGTGAACATTAAACACAATCGAAACAAAGCATGACATAAGAACTAAATTACAGCTGTTGTCAAGATTTTACATCTAAATTTAACAATTTAAGCAGCTTTAATTATACACTCCAAACTAACTTATATTTTATTTCTTTAGTTTCAATAATTACTATATAGGTTAATGTATGTGTGTGTGTGTGTGTGTGTATGTGTGTGTGTGTGTGCAGTAGAATTTTGCAAACAACAAAAAGAAAAAAAGTGACCAAAGCATTTTAAAAGTTTCTTCCTAAAGGTTTATGAAGACTTTTGTGACATCCTACATAGTGATAGTTCCTTCACCTAGGTTTTAGTAACCTTTAATCAAGTAAAGGGGTGCCCCTGGGTGATACAAACAGTTAATGTGCTAGGTCTACCCAGAGGCACCTCTAAAGAAAGGTCAGGCAATTTACTTCTGAAAAATCAACCAATGAAAACCCTATGGAGCAGTTCTACTTTGACACACAGGGGTCACCATAAGTCGGAATCCACTAGAAGGCAACTGGTTTTCAAGTAAAAGATTCATTTGGCCCATGTCTATATTGTCTTATCCTATTATGGGTTCTTTAATGGTCATTTTTTACATTTGACTTCTTTCACACCCCCTTGCAAATGCTTTTAGGAAGTTGGTGAAAGAAGAAACAGAAAGTAAACTTAAATATTCTTATTTCACTTTTTGCCACAAAGGAGCCTCAAAAGTAGAGAATCTCTAAAAACGCCTAGTATTCTACCTAAACCCTGATATAGATCAGTCATTCAAAATTAACGTACACATCTACTGATACGGAGACAGTGAGATCAATGGAGATGTACAAAGGCTACCAACCATTTTACACATCAGTCTCCACAACTATAAACAGAAGGATAATAGTATCAATTTCATAAAATGACTATGACGATAAAAAGTTATACTACCTAGTACACAGTGAGCACTTAACAACTATTAAACATTTTATTTTTAGCCTTGGTTTCCTCATACATTAAAAGGATCAATAAGACCTAACCCAAAGAGCCATGAAAATGAAATGAGTAGACGTATGTAAATCAGTTGGCATAACAGGTCCTCAATAAACCATAATTCCTTTCTCTTCCACTTTTTGTCTAAGTATTGGTGGAGTGGAGGATCCTTGGAGTAGCAAATAGAGATCCCCCACCGGTCCGGACTCTAGATGGACCCCATCCTTGCATTTCATTGGAGCTGGGTCCTGATCACTGGCTGCACTCTGTGGGGAGTGACCTGGGGCCCACATCAGAGACTGAGGGAACATGCTTGCTCCTTCCAAACCCCTGCCCTCCCAGTGACCAGCAGTGTGATCGCCCTCCCAGTGATCTGTGAGTGTGCCTCCCCAGTGATCTGTGGTGGACACTCCCATGCCATCAGACCCGCGACTGGAGGCTTGTGCCCGCTCCACCCAGCCCTGTACTCTCCCACCCACCTGGCGATCAGTGGCCTACGTGCCTGCCAACAGACCAGCGGACGGAGGCACGAGACCCCACCTCTCCCACACTCGCCACCCTACCCACCTGGCAACTGATGGTACGCAAGTTACCGTGCCACCCACTCAGTAACCAGTGACCCATGCGCCCTGGCCCCAACCACCTGGCAACAGGTGGTGGAAACACACAGTACCCAACCCAGCAATGGGTAAGAACACTCCCTGCACCCATGCCCCACTGACCAGCTGGACAGACACATCACCTCATCAGCAACGCCAGTCACATCCTTACAGGCACCATCGGTATCTCTGCCAAATGACAAGCAGGAGATCCTAGTGCCCTCATCCAATGTCCACCTGGCTGCAACATCACACATTCCACAACCAAACAGTTCCTGCAGGCCGTCTGCACCTGGATTAAAGCCCCGTGATACCACAACATCTACCGAGACGCCATTTTGTGAAAGAACAGCAAGCCTACCCCATCCACTGGGTCGCACTTCCTCACAGCAGATACATAAAAACCTGCCCTGACAGCCAGAAAACACACTAACTGCTAACACCACCACTGGAAGGACCCCACAGTCCCACAAAGGTTATGGAGGGACACAGACCAACCAATACTTGTCATCCAATACTAGGGAAAGAACCTGATCTCTCACCTCCTCTCAATCCAGTAAGGGAAGACATACCAGCATAACCACAGAGGATTCGCACATGGGTGCAACCCACCATACCCACTAGTGAGAGGAAATCATGTCCAGCTAACAGAAATGACCAAAGTCACACATAGACCAGAAACACAAAACAACAACAAATAATAATACAAAGGAGGAAAGACATTCTAAAGAGAAACAGAACAAAGCTCCAAATACATCAAAGCAAGTTTTAAAAAATCATCACAAAAGAAACATGCATACAATCAATAAAGAAATATATAAATAAATTAATTAACACCTTAATGCCTCAGAGACAGCAGAAAATGACAAATCATATGAAGAAACAGGATAAGAGGGCTCAAACAAGTCAGCAAAATAAAAGGGCAGAAAATTTTCCCGAGAAAGAAATGGTAATAGAAATTTCTGATAAGGAATTCAAAAGACACATACAGGATCCTCAAAGAAATCAAGGAAAACACACACAAAACTCCAGAAAGTGTCAGTAAAAAATATAAGAACAAAATGACAAAATAAACAATTAGAAATCATACAAAAACAACTAGAAATCCGAAAATAACAATAAAATATCAGAAATAAGTAACTCAGTAGAAGGAAATAGAAGTAGAACTGAATCAGTGGAAGAATTAGCAAAATAGAGGACAAATACCTTGCTGCTAATTTGTTTGAGGAACAATCAGAAAAAATAAGGAAAAAGGAAGAAAGCCTAGAGTTATGTGGGACACTATTAAGAGGAATAATTTACGCATAATAGGAATTCCTGAAGAGGAGAAGGGAAAAAAAGGACGTAGAGAATTTTTGAAGATTTATTGCTATATAACTTCCCTAATATCATGAAAGACAAGGTTTCCATCCAAGAAGCTCAATGAACCCCATACAGGATAAACTTCAAAAGAAAGTCACCAAGCATATCATAATCAAACTTTCCAAAACCAAAGCCAAAGAAAGAATTCTGAGAGCAGCTTGTGAAAAACCAAATATAACCTACAAAGGGGCATCAAAAAGACAAAGCACTGATTTATCGGCAGAAACCAGGCAGGCAAGAAGGCAATGAGATGACATATACAAAACCCTGAAGGGAAAGAACTGCCAATCAAGAATCGTATTTCCAGAAAACTGTCTTTCAAATATGATGGCGAAACTAGACATTCCCAGAAAAACAGAAAGTAAGGGAATTTGTAAAAACCTGACCAATTTACAAGAAATATTACACTAAAACTCAAATTCCTAGAAGAGGTCAGATCTACTGGACTGATAGAAACTAGAGGAACCCCCAAGACTATCACCCTAAGATACTCTTTGAACTTGGAATTGAAGCTATTTCTGCAAGTCAGCTTTCAGCCAAATAACAGATTGACTTGTAAAATAAACAATGTCTCCTATGAGTAATGTGCTCCCTTTAACAATTAACTATATGAGACCAAATGGTCAACAGTTACCCAAAAGCAAAGATGAGAAAGCAGGGAAGGGAAAGGAAGCTAGATCAATGGAAATAGAACAAACAGAATGGAAATAATGAGAATGCTGACAATTGTAAAGATTGTAATCAATGGCATGGAGCAATTTGTATAAAAATTGTTAAAAGAGAACCTAATTTGCTATGTAAACTTTTACCTAAAACACAATAAAATATTATTTAAAAAAAAACACACACACACAAAAGAAATTTAAAATCAAATGTATTAGTAGGTGACTGGATGGATGGAAGGATAAAAATTGCAGCATTCTAATAAACTATAATTTCTCCCTTTGTCACAACTTTCCTATGAAGGACTACAGTTATCATTTATTAATATATCAAATATGTTCTAGGGAGAAATAGTAGAAGAAATTCAATTAAGCCTTTTGAATTAGAATCCATTCATGTATTTACCTTTTCTTCTAGTTGTTCCTTCAAACACTGATACTTTAGCTTCAGTTTTTTGTTCTCCTCCTCATTCTGGGCTAATTCTTGTGTCAGCCTGTCACACTGTGATTTTAACTTCTCCAGCTGCCAGAGATGGACTTTAGCTGTATTCTTATCTTCTAAGCTTTCTGCCTGAAAAAAAGAGAGAAGGAGAACAAAAAAAGTCCACTGGCCAAATTATATAATTATAGCCAAATTATATACCAAACAAATTACACATTGTATCAATGGGAAAAATACTTCAAGATTTTGCTCTCTCTGAACATTTATATACAAACATTAAAATACGCCCAAAGGAAATGTTCTTGCACTTATTCACTTATTCAACAGCATTTATTTAGCATTTACTAAGTGACAGGTACCGTACTAGGTGCTGAAGATGCAATAAATCAATTTCTACAACAATGTATGAAAAGTGCTTAATAAAGGTGAAAACTGGGTATTTTGCCAACCCACGAAGGGAGCCCAATTTGGCTCGAGGATGGAAGGAGTTATTAGGGAGGCGTCCCAAAAGGGAAATACTATGAGATGATAGTGCTCACTGATCAATTTTCTCATCTGTAAAATGAGCTTAACAACATTCCTGTTTTACCTACCTCCAGGTTGTTATGAAAGAATTGTGTACTTTTTGGTTAACATAAGTACACCACCCTTGTGTGGCTAAAAGAATTGTGAATTGTAGCAGCCAAAAAACTACAAATAATATGAAAAAGAGCTTAACTGTGATTATTTCAGCACCAATAATGTAATAAAGTACCTGTTCTTTTTATCTTTATTTGCAATATAACCAGAATCAGCTTTACAAAAATTTAGGAATAATCTATTCTGTATATGGGACTCAAGAAAGATTTCCCAGGTATGTGAAGTTATAGAATTTTAAAATAACATTAACAACATCATAAACATTCACTATGTCTGGTCAGGCACTATTTTAAGACCTTCTGGAATACAGCTTTTTCCTAATTTCATGCTCACAACAACCTGACAAGGTAGGTACTATTATTATTTCCCCCTTTGAAACTGAAACACAGAGAAGTTAGTAATTTATCCAAGGGTATATAGTGGGTAAGGCGTCCTGGTGACACAGTCGTTAAGTGCTTGCCTGCTAACCAGAAGGTCAGAAAACCCTACAGAGCAATTCCATTCTGTCCTATAGGGTCACTATCGGTTTGAATTCAACTAGACTGTAATGAGTTTTATACAGCAGGTGAATGCAGAGACAGGATTTGAACCCAGAAAACCTGGATCAAAGGTCTATGCTTTCAACTACTCTGCTACACTGACCCTCAATAGGTACATATATCATAAGGTTTTAAAAACCATCTGGAACATTAATTGCAATTATGTATATAATCTGTCTAAAATACATGCTTTAATGCCTAAAATACATCTGTATTTTGTTGTTATAAATTTATTATGTATTTTTAATCAGTTAAGTAGGAATATAATCATTGAAAGCAATCTCCTGAGAGGACGAACTTTTATGAGTTTTGGACAAAAATCTATATTTTATTCACCCCACAAAAGTCATCTAAGACTTGATGCCACTTCAAATTAACAAAGGAATTGATTTTTTTTTATGAGTAATCCTGTATTTACAACCCAAACATAAATTCACAAGACAAAGTCTCTCATCAGGAAAATTGCTCAATTACAATTTTAAGTGTCAAAAGAATGCATTTACTTTTCTTTATGTCCTATGAAAAGCATAGGTATATAAGATGGTTTCCTTCTAAGGTCAGGAGTGTGCTCAGGCTGGCTCAGGAGACTGGCAAAAGCCAATTGTGCTCATCTCTTCCCAACTGCAACCCAATGCAATGACGTCTCATTGACAGTCTGAAATCAGCCAAGATGTGATTATTTACACCCTGAAAGTGGCAAATGCTACCAAGCAGAGTTTTCTCCCTAAAGAGCCAGTTTGTTCAATATTTACCAGCATTTGGATGCCTGCGTTTGAGTTTAAGAACTTATAAACTCTTGTGGTTTTTATTATTACTTTCTTGTATCACTTTAGGATTTACAAGGCAATGTCATTTTCACAACAAACCTGTGATAGAGAAAAACATTACTACTGCCATTTTATTGATAAGGTACAAAAAAGGTTAAGTAACATGTCTAAGATCACATGGCCAGTAACTGTCAAAAGGACAGAACTCCATTCTTGGGTCTTCTGATTCCGAACAAAAGATGCTACAAAATGATTTTGTTGAAAATATGAAGAGATGATGAATAACCAAATATTCTGCAAATATTAATAGCAACAAGAGTATTTCATAAAAATATTTTAAATTTAATTCTAAAAATAAGTATTAAAAGCGTACTTCTAGATGGGATAAAAATACAGCTGATTCTCCAGAGAAAAAAAAATAGGGGCAACATACCAGAGCTTGTTAGACTCAGAAAAAAGGAATAAATTAAGATGAGGCTAAAAGATACAGAAATATTTATAGGCTATAGAGCTACTTGTCCAGAGCCCTTTTGTGCATATTTCAGCATTCTAACCTCTTGTCTTGGAAGAAAGACAACAAGAGTGCTCCTTGGAAGCGAGCATGGTGAGACTTCATTTCATGTACTTGGGACATGTTATCAGGAGGGAGCAGCCCCTGGAGGACATTATCCCTTGGTAAGGTAGAGGGTCAGCAAAAAAGAAGAAGACCCTCGATGAGATGGACTGATGCAGTGGCTGCAATAATGGGCTCAAGCATAGCAACGACTGTGAGGACAGCGCAGGACTGGGCAGTGTTTTGTTCTGTTGTTCAGGGTCACTGTGAGTCGGAAACAACTCAACAGCACCTAACAACAACAATAACAATCTCCCATGATGACCATTGTTGTCAAATCTTTTTAATTAATATAAATAAAAAGTACAGAATAGCATGAGGTGGGAGTTGTTTCTTACGAGTAACTCACTCACTTGGTTTAAACTCATTTGTTTTACAAGGAAAACTGCCTGGCTCTCACAATCTCTGGCTCTTTTTAGCTCTCATGCTGCTTCTGTGTTACATTAAAGAGTAGCTGCAACACCCCTCACGGACCTCAGTTTTCCAGATTAGGAAAAAAAAAAATCTAAACCTTTCAGAAGATCCATAGGATATCTATAAATTATAATTTTTATTCACGGATAATTTCTTGAAGCTTTCTTGTTATCTCATTATAAATGAATCAATAGTACTTCTTTAAAAACAGGATGAGGACAATCAATTTTCCCACATTACATGGAAAAAGTCAAACCAGAGAGATCACAGAAAAGTCAAAAAACAAATCCTCTGATTTCCAGTTTCTTAAACATTTCAACCCAACATCCACTGGGTATCTTCTGTAAATACAGAACATTATTCTAAATACCATAAGAGGATTAAAAGATGGCTAAGACCTGATGCCCGCCACTCTGGAGACTTACGAACACACACCAGACCATAAGACAAAAAAAAATTTTTAAAAACCTAGTTGCTGTCAAGTCAAGTCCAACTCATGGTAACTCCACGTGTGTCAGTGTAGAACTGCGCTCCAGAGGGTTTTCAATGGCTAATATTTTGGAAGTAGATCACCAGGCCTTTCTTCCAAGGTGACTCTGGATAGACTCCAACCTCCAAACTTACAGTTAGCAGCCAAGCACATTAACCATTTGCACCACCTAGGGACTCCTAACCATAATACAAGCCAGCCTAAATGTGCTACACTAGAAACACTAACCAAGATCGATGAAAACACAGAGGATGGAAAGATTTACAACCTCAGTTAGATTTATTCCAACTTCAGGATTCATAAAAGATGTAAAAAGTTACCTGGGCCTCGATGGACTAGGCAGAATGTTTCTTCCTGCAGATTGGTGGAAAGGACAATATACAAATGGAACACAAGTAGTGAAAAATTCGGGGAATGGTTGTACATGTGTATGAGAAATGTTGAGGAGCATAAAAGGCAATAAATAAGGCTATCTCAAGAAGGGCTGGGCTAGAGTGGAGACTTCATTTCAGAGCCAGTAAATAATCAATCAAGGTTTTTGAGTAGGAAGTGGCACATTCAGATGTGTGTTTAAGGAAGGGAAATATGGTCTGAGAGAAGTTAGAGGTGGAAAGAGGCAGCAGGAGGAAGGAGGGAGGCTACTTAGAGGCATGTTTCAGTTGGCCAAATTAGAAGTCCATGTCCTGTCTTCTACTATGGTACATGATGCATTTGCTCATATGCTAGTGCATCCATGAGTGAATGCAAGCAAGCTGCACCTTCATAACTTTATCTACCACTCAAGAAAGCATATCAGAATGTGAGTGAGAATGATATTTTCATAGAGATAATCTCTTCTGCTCTAATTGATTAAATTATTACAAAATCCTGGTGACATATATGTTATCACACAGCCTAAATAATAGTGATGAGAGACTGAAATAAGTCAGCAGCAGTTAGAAGGAAAGGAAGGTATAGATTCAACAACTCTCAAGAAAACTGTAAGCTCCTTAAAAAGAAGAATCATGTCTTATGGCCATAACCACTGTTGCTTCCAAACCATTACATGCCCATCCTCATGCAAAACCCTGCCTTCCTTTGAAATTCACCATTTGCCATCAATTCCCCTCCTCCTTGCTGGCAACAGCTCACTGAAGTTTTTGACATGTGGCCAATTAATGCCTTTGCAATACTATTAGAAATATTCAAATGTCTATCCAACAAGCGAATCTCAAAATCACTGGTCATGTTCTATTTCTACTACCCTCACCCACATTCCACAACAGTAACCCATTGTATGACCACACCTTGGACCATAACTCTGAAAATTTTAGCTCTAATATAACAATTTCTGACCAACTGTCGCAACCTCTGAGGCAGTGTGGTTCAGCAGTAGAATTTTGGCCTTCCATGTAGGAGACACCTGGGTTTAATTCCCAGCCAATGTACCTCAGCACAGCCACCACTCATCTGTCAGTGGAGGCTTGTGTGTTGCTAAGACGCTGAACAGGTTTCAGCAGAGCTTCTAGACTAAGGCAGATTAGGAAGAAAGGCCTGGAAATCTACTTCTGAAAATCAGCCAGTGAGAAACTGTGGATCACAACCATCCAATCCCATTGTGCATGGGGTCTCCATGAGTTGGGCACTAACTCAACAGCAGCTAACAACAACGTCTGACCATAGATCTTATCCCTCAACTTCCTCATTCATTTATACCCATGACATGTGTTCTTCAGTGTCAGCCACATGGCAACACTTTGCACGCTCCCAAACTACAGCCTCATGCAATTTATACCAGTCTTCACAGCCATTTGCATCTTCACCTCTCTTAAATTGGTTATTGTACTTCTGCTCCACTCTACTTCAGAGATGAAAGAGACTACTAATAAAGATTCATATCAACTTTTCCAGACCACCTGTATCAACTTACTCAATCTTACTGGTTTCCTCCAAAACCTTCAGAGTAAGAGATATCTTGTTGCCTGTTGAATGCTATATACTTTTTGATCCAAATCCCTCACACCCTTCATAGGGTTTCTTAATCAACCTCTACTAAATGCAATGAATTTTCTTAGTTCTCTTAGCCTGTTTGCAACATTTGACACTCTTGAATATCTCCTTCTTGAAAGATCTTACTTGGGTTTCCAAGATACCATTCTCTTCTGGCTCTCCTCCTGCCTCTCATACGGTTCTGTACTCTTATTTGCTGCAACCTCTTTCTCAACCCTTCCATTAAATGTTGGTGCCCTGGTGTTTCGTCCTCAGTCCTCTTCTCTTTCTTCCTGGATAATCTCATCTAAATTCTATGATTTCTACTACCACCTATAGGTTACTAGCTGCTAAATATTAACTCTAATCTCAACTTCTCCCTGAACTGCTCTACCTAGATTTTTAATGGTTAAGCTTACTGCCGTTCCCACATACTCAACGTGAAAAAACTGGATTTGGCGTTGTCTCTCCTGCCTATATTCTTTATCTTGGCACACAGCCTCATCATTCACATAGTCACCCAAGTCATAACCTAATCATCCTTGATTCTAAACTCTTTCCAGTAGAGAAAAGTAATTAAGAACCCAGGCACTTGACTACCTGGATTCAAATCCTTCCTCTACTACTTCCCAGCAACAAGACCTTGGACAAGTTACTTAATCTCCTGTGTCTCAGTTTTGTCATCAGGGAAAAAAATAATACTATACAATCTGTGTGACTGATGTGAATACTAAATGAGTAACACATGTAAAGTGATTATACCAGTGACCGACACAAAGGGCTAAAAACAATGTTTCCTTGTATTATTATTGCCATACCAATCAGTCATCAAGTAACATATAGTTTATTTTCTATAATATCAACTCCTCCATATCCCTGATTTTATTTTTGATTATATCCTCATCAACTCTAAAGTACTATTATATCATATTTCATCAATATTAAGATGTATTTTTTTTCATATTTTACCATCCCTGACTTGGGACGTTAGCTTACAATTGATAGTATGTCATGGTTTCATAGGAATATTTTTTCTCTTACTAATACACTGATGTGTGTCTTAGGTTCAAGGAAACATAGTAAAGGTCTCCTATCTATTCTTCTGGCCTCCATTCTATCCGGCCCTATCCACCCCAGCTGATGATCCCAAATCTACTACTGACAGAAGATTATATAGGACTGGGGAAGAATTCATGAAATAGTTGAAAGCACTCTACAAATGTCAGCTATTTCAATATAATTTAACTTCAGCTTCTATCATAAACATTTTTAAGGTAGTTGCTGCTTTTCAAGGAATTAAAAAAATTAAAACAATTATAATTAATCTTTAAAGATTAATCCATTCATTTGTCTATTGAACAGATATTTACAGTGTTCCAGAAACTGTTCTAGGCACTGGGGATGCACCTGTAAATAAAGCCAATTCAAATCCCAGTCCTCATGGAGCTTTTATTTTAATGAAGGGAGATTAAAAACTAAACAATATGGAATCTATATTATGTGATGAAAAGAGCTCTGGAGAAAAAATAAAGCAGAGAAGAGGGACAGGTTTATCACACTCCTGAGATTCATGTTATGAAATGATTCCCCTGCATGGTAACAATGCCAATACCATTAGACCTTAGAAACACTTCCCCAGATGCAAGGTCTCAATTAGGCATTTACTCAGGCAACTTTGATTTCGAAGAGAAGGGTTAAACCTCAAAAGCCTTGGGTTTACATAGCCCATAAGCTGATTCACTTTAGTTACCATACTAATAATGACTGTTGTTATAGCTTCTATGGCCTTGATAAGTCTTTGCCTTTTATATTTTAGGAAGTCATAAATGTTGAATGAGGGCACATTTCAGGTCCACAACTTACTGCCACCTCTGCCTTTCCTGAACTCCCAAAATAGCTAAACGTTCTTTTTAAATGGCTTCAGTGCTCTGAAATAGGTGCTCCCAGGTGGCTGCTATAACTCATTTCAACTTGGCCGAACAGGCATAAATAAGCCTCTTTATTGTTAGTTTTATCTTCCCTTCAGTGCTTGGGAATACAGAATGATCTCTAAAAGTTTATGCTTTATTAACTTCATCAGCCACTGGAAAAATTCCTTCAGAATCATCAGGATAATTCAATGTGGATACCTTCAGTGTCCTAATATGATTCTCGGCCTCACTCTTTTCTTTCTTAAAGTGCTTCATCAGCTCCTGGATATTTTGTTCGTGTTTAGTTTTCACACTCTGCAATGATGATGTAAGATCTTTCAGCTCCCTCTGGTGAACATCTCGCTCTAGCTTTAACTGCTTGATGATTGTAGCTGTTTCATCCTCCCTGGATTTCTCATGGGTCTTGAGGTCAGAAAGGTCCTTAAGCACCTCTTTCTTGGCTCTTTCTTCCTCGGCCAATTTGTTAGCAAGATCTGCTCGGATGGCACTCAAATCCTTGACAGACTCTTGCATCTCCAGAAGTTTAGCTTTATCCTCAGCCTGGCTCTTCTTTAGTGCTGCATTTTCTTCCTCCAGGTGAGTTTTCTCAGCTTTCAGTTGGCTCTGAATCTTACTCTGCTTTTTCAATTCACTTTCTAGCCTATGTATGGTGTCTAGGGAATCCTTGACTTCTTGTTCAAGGTCTGCTTGATGAGACTTCACATCACTTAGTTTCTTCTCTTTACAGTGAAGCTCCTCTTCCTGAAGGGCTCGCTTGGTTAAGACATCGTTCAATTCCTTTCGAAGATTCTCTATTTGTTGTAAGGCTGCATAAAGCTGGCTTTTCAATTCATCCCTTTCTCTTAGAATCTATCAGGGTAACAATAAAAAGAATAAAACAAATTACTGTAAAATACACCATAGACTCTGCTAGGTAAGAAAAAGGGTTTAATCCATAAGGAGAAGAAAAATGTATCAAATAATATTTTATACTTTTCATATTTTTTAATTAAGAATTTTCCTTAGGTTTGAAAATGAGGAAAAATATATAATTACCCTGAAACTAAAAGGCCCATAGCAGCACACTGATTTTGGATTTTTTCATCACCAAAATTTATTTTATATCAACCCATGATCTTAAATAATTATTTAAATATAAGATAAAATTGAGCAAAAGAATGGGCCAAAAAAATGACTTCTATTATAAAGATAATTTGCCAGAGGTTGAAATAATACAGTGTTACCTAAAATAAAAACAATCTGCACTGTAATGACATATTTTTAAAAAGAAGAAACCTCAAAACAGAGACGAAAAATAATATAGAGAAGCATGCAGATATATTCCAAGAAAGGTTACAGTACTATCGGTCACTATTAATAAAATAATGTCAGTAGTAGTAAGATACACACCAATACACAACTGCAAGTCTTGAAGCTCCCAGAAAAGTAGAGATGAGATTCATTTAAAATTAGAACAGGTTGGGAAAGAAAGAAATATTCAAGGCATTAAACCTCCATCATCCTTTGCCTGCCTCTATAGGGCAGAGGGGTTAGGGTTTATACTAAGGAACAGAAACCAAGAACTAACCCTTCTGGACTCTAATCCTCACCACCCAGTCAATGGAAATGAAAAAGCCAAGCAGCCAAGAAAGATAAGATTGCTTTCTCAACAACACTGGTACCAAGGTCAATCTTACTGATGCCCATCACGGCTTCAACAGAGGGAAAAACAAGATTCTCATTTCAGAAATAGAAATAATGAGTTAAAATGCAAATAATTGTGTGCTTTATAATTCAATATATACTTCAGTGTAAAATAATTTGCAATAAAATGCAATGAGTCAGTCTCTCAAAATGAATTAATACGTAAAGAGTTTATTCAAATCAATCTCAGTTCTGATAGGGTAAAGAACATAAAGGTGCCACAAAAAAAATCATGAAACGAAGTGATTAAGGAGTTGGCTCTGAAGACAGAAGGAACTTAACTTGATTCTCAGTCCAGCCATTTAGTATTTCTATGGCCTTAAGGAAATTATCTTTGCTGTGCCTCAGTTTCTTCATCTGTAAAATAGAGACAATAATAATATCTACTTCACAGGGTTGTGATAAAGATTAGTGGGAAACAAAAAGTAGGAGAGAGATTTAAGTTCAAGGTGGAACCAGGTCTCAGGGAGGTATTAATGCAAGGTAATGACTGAAACTATGAAAGAGATGGTAACTGGTGAAGCAAGTCCTTGGAGTGGAAAGACTGGAACATAGTTAAAGGAGTTAACTTTGGAAAGAAATAAAGCTATTTGTATATTTAAATTAGGGGAAAGGCAGGAAAACTAACTAGAAATATAGATAAGCCTCGGGCACATGTATTCTTTTTCTATTGCTGTGTATTACCACAAACTTAGTGGCTTAAAACAACATCCATTTATTATCTCATTGTTTCCATAGGTCAAAAGTATAGGCGAGGTACTCTGCTTAGGGTCTTGTAAGGCTGGAACCAAGTTGTTGGCTGGCCTGGGCTTATCCAGAGGCTCCGGTAAAGAATCTACTTCCAAGCTCATTCAGGCTTGGCAGAATTGAGTTTTATGTACTGTAGGACTCTCCTCCCCACTTCTTGCTGGCTGTTGGCCAAGGGTTAGTCTCAGCTTCTAGAGGCCACCTTTGGCTCATGGACCCTTCCATCTATAAAGCCAGCAACATGCTCTTTGAATTTCTCTGACTTACCCTCCTCCCACCAGCCAGAAAAAGGTCTCGATTTTTAAGAGTTGGTGTACTTAAATTAGATCTACCTGGATAATCCCTGTATCTTCAGGTCAAGTGTGCCATACGACAATGTAATCATGGGAGTGATATCTCATCATATGCACAGGTTTCAGGAATTGAGGCAAGACATCTTCGGGGGACCATTCTGCCTGCCACAACAGAGAAGAAACTGACAGAACTCAATTTTATGGATTCTCAGTTGTAAAGATAATGTGGGAGGGGCCTCAGAGTGAGGGGAGGTAGCTTAAATATAGTGATTAATGTTTGGAACAGATAACTTGGCTCCCCAGCCATGAGTTAAGAAACTGGCAAGCAACCCTGAAGATAGAAAATCATATTTTCATGACAAAGCTCTATCAGGAGAATGCCTGTAACTACAAAAAGATTATAAATGTCTTCTTGATTGGCTTAAACAGCAAGGATATTTATTTTTCTCACATCAAGATGGGGTGGCTCAAGAAGATCCTTTGAAGCTTAGACTCTTGCAACTGTGCAATTCTCCAGGCTTTGTCCTCCTCTCAGTGTCCCAGGCATCACATCAATTTATGACAAAGCCAGAGCCTTAGGGGTAGCCAGTCACAGACTATGTTGGTCAGGTTTTAGAATTTCTTTGGCAATACATCTTCTCCTCACTTATTGACATGGTAAGGTTCCAAAGACCAGGTCGTTATGCAAAATCTGGATTATGCAAAAATGAAGGATGACTACATCAGATCACAAAATGGAAGATGACTGCATCACTGCATAACTGCCAAATACATCATTACATAACTGCCAAACCACTCAGAAGCATGGCCTAGCCAAGCTGACATATAACCTTAACCATCACAGACAGCATTACCCTCGCCTTGCACTTTGGCATTCATTACTGCCAGATGTATGTCGTTAATGCACAAAATAGATAGGTTTTTTACTACTGTCAATGTGAAATGTCGGATAATGAGACAGTCGATAAGTGAGGAGAAAGTGCATAGTTTCTGAAAACTGAGTAAGTTCTATTTGTTTCTGATCAGTTGTTTGGCTAGTAGCCGGAGCCCAAGATTTTGTCTAGGAATTGCCTCTGAGTCTGACAATGTCAGTGTCTAACCACCCCTCAGCAACCTGGCCATTCCCAGTGGCCTTCACGCAGTGGTTAAGTGCTTAGATGCTAACCAAAAGGTCAGCAATTTGAATTCACCAGCCACTCCGCGGAAGAAAGATGTGGCAGTCTGCGTCTGTAAAGATTACAGCCTTGGAAACCCAATAGGGCAGTTCTTCTCTGTCCAACAGGGTTGTTACATGTTCAGAATTCATTCTACAGCAACTGGTTTGGTTTTTTGGTTTTTTGTTTGTTTGTTTTGTTTTACTTCAGTTAAATAACTTCTATCTTGAGGCAATTCAAAATAGTGGAATTGGGTTCCCTTTATCGGATCAGGAGTGCTTAACTAGAACTACTTGAAAGGGGCCTGAAAAATCTTGCTTCTATTTGACCTCATTTTTATTTCTGCTAAGTGTCCCACCTCTCCCTCCAGCTTGAACTAACTTGAGTTTGAGATAAATAATTTGGCTTTTCCAGCCCTAAAATACTCCAAATTACTGGACACAGACTCAGTCAATTTGGATTGCAGATTGAAGACCTCAGGCCCCCTCACACAAAATAATTCTTCTTCTCTGCTTTTAGACAGACCAGCTTCAATCTAAAGTTGTTCTGTAGGATCTTTCTGAAGGCTAAAACAAGGAGACAACATACTCCAACATCCTAAAGTTTCTCTACCAGTTACTCAATACTATACTCTGAGGTACAGCATCAATGCCTCAAGGTACAACTTCTGATGGTTTAACCAAGTACTTCCAAGTACACAGGAAGGTTTAACAACTCTCCCATTTGAACAGTATCATTCCCCCTGCCCCATTCTCACCCCACTACCTCACACCCCTTGCCACCACTAAGTCAATTCTACATTTTAGGATTTTTTATTTATAGCTCCTCATCTCTAAAATTTAAATTTCATATCAGTTTCAATTTCTTCAAGCTGAGAGTAAGAGAAAATCTAGACGCAAATGGCCTCAAACCACAAGGACACTTATTATCTATCACTCCAAGCAGAGCTGCTCCAGATATAGCATGTCAAGGCTCTATCTCTACTTCTCTGCAACTCTCTCAGCAATATCTCCTCTGTGTGTGGCTTCATCCTCAAGATGGTAGCAAGTCAGCTTCAGCCATTCCAGGCACAAAAGCCGGAAACAACATCTAGAAGAAAGAGAAAATCTCTCTTCTTATATACCATTTTTAGAGTAAGCTAAACGTTTACCAGAAGCTCCCCAACAGACTTTATATTCCATTCCTCATTGATTAGGATTGGGTCGTGTGCCTAGGAATGACTGGCTTATATTAATCATTGTGGGGGTGGGGTAGAAGGGAGTAACCATGTTGCCTACAGGAGCTAGCTGATATGTCTATACAAAATTTGCTGGTACCATTCAGTAGCAAGAATGGAAAAAGTAGACATTTAGGTTGATTCTAGATTGAAGATCAGTAAAATGTATGAGGTAGAAGAAAGAAATTGAAGATGCTGGTGAGTATATCATCAAAAAAGCTTCTTATAAAGCCCAGCCTAGACTGGAAAAAAAAAAAAAAAAAAAAAAAACTAAATCCAGAAAATGGCTGATCAACCAGAGGAAGGCAGAAATATCAAAATCAGGTGCTAATTGTTTAGAAAAATGAAAGGAAATGAACTGTTAAAAAGCAGAGACTGAGATTTTAGAACTGAAGATTTGAACACAGAACAATCACAGATGACAACAAATATTAACCACAGAAATTAGTTGCTGAAATAGAGTGATTTGAAAGTCACTGTGAAATAGGAAATTACTGAAGTATAAGGATAATGGACTTCAACAGTTTGCTGACTTGAACAATGAAGTCAACAAGGATGATGGCAAAAGTTACATGTAATGTTACATGTCAAGGGGAAGTCAGGTGCCAAAATCCTGAAGAAATGTGGAGGCATAGTGGAAAAATAAGTAGCAGTCAGGAACAAGATTAAGCAGAAAATGTTATAATCAGGTAAACTTAGCTTCCAAAGAAGGGCTGTAAAGGAAGATTACAGAAAGCAGGGCTGAAATGGTTGTAT